AATCCATATACTCTAGCGATGTCTCACCACTACTAAGGATGTCTATCATGCATATTAGAGAAGACAACGCTCAGTCAACACTGTGGTGCAAATGTATCACAGCTTTGTAATCTTTTTAAGAGCTCCAACAACCCATGATCCAGATTCTAGGAAAAACAGGAAGGGAAAAAGCGTCAGGTCACATGAGGTCAGCTGATAATTGTGTAGCCTCGACGATTTCAAATGGTGGTTATAAAAATAATGATTACAGAAGGATTCACTGCACTGTAATGAAGACCTGAATGAACCTGTGTGTGTGCGCGTGTGTGTGCGCGCGTGTCAGACTCCAGCCAGCAGTGTGTGTATTAATAGCTAAGCATCACGTGACGTGGCATCACAAACACACCGTTATATTTAGCTTGTCCACAGAAGGCTGCAGCTCTGAGCGGCTGTTCGGATCAAAGCTTTTCATTCAAACTTAATGAAGACTTTATGTAACCACAGAGCTAATGTTTACAGCCAGGTGAGAATAGTCACATGACAGTTCTTTGGCTATTTACACCTGGCCTCCTCAGCCCCCAGATAAAGAGCAACAGTCCTGGTGGAGGCGTGGTTGTGATAAATATACAGTTTATGATAAAGGGCCAAGAATTCTGAAAACTGCAATAACTCAAGAACAAAGCGACGAGGATTTTCAGTTTGATGCTGTTGATGTGTTCAGGAGGCTGAGCTGTAACACTGTTAAACTAAAACTGATCATTTTTCCGTCCATCCATCTGATGCCCGGATCGCCAGCTCTTCTGGAGGGATACTGAAGTGTTCCCGAGCCGTCTGATAGACACGGTGTCAGCCTGCCCTTGATATTTCAACTCTCCCACTTGGAGCAGTAACTCCACCCTTTTCTGACAATCATACTCTGAGACTTGGAGGTGCTCAATCTTTCAGTCCGCCTCATTTCTGTTGTTCAGATTTATGAGCAGTTGAGAATATTTAGGTTCATTTAAGGTCATTTAAGGTTCAATAACATCAGCGTTACTGACTCACTGATTTGTGGTTGTTATCGACCCTCTTATTTATGACTTTGGTCAGGTGAAAGCAGCGTGATCGATATTATTATGGAGATTTTTAAAAATCTGGGCTGGTAATAATCAAAATTAGTTTTATTGTATGTCAATTTCTCATTCAGAGTAGATTGCCCATTATCAGGGAAGTTTTAGTTTTATTTGTTAAATGAACTGTTGTTTGTGCATCTGACCAATCTATATAACCTTTCAAGCCCTCCAGAATGGTAAAACCAACAAAACCAAGCGCCGCCCAGGTCTCCACTCCTGCCCCTGAAGTCCCGTACACCGCAAGCCTCTCCAAAACCTCCTCCCCGGCAAAGAAGGAGAGCCAACCCACCCCCGGCACCGACGTGACCGAATTCAAAGGTCCAAAACAGCACCCGCTAGGCTAGAGGACATAATCGCTCATACCATACATAAGTGACCATAAATGGTCTGAGAAGGATAGCGAACACGTCTTCGAAAGAGAAGGAGAAAATGAGAGAGATCCCCAAATAAAATCCACCCATTGCAAGAGAATACCCTCAATGCAATCATCAGTGCACGTTTGTAGAAATGACAACATAGACGCGCAACTTCTTGAACTAGAGCTATCAGTTTTTATTGGAGATGCCAAATGTCTGCGAATTAGAATTTCAAGGAGCAGCACACCGTTGAGTTAAAGAAAGGAACCGGCCTTCCAAAAAATACCACCTGGTGAAGACGGAGAAAATATCTCCTTTATGATATGGTTCAGCGGGCTATACAAAATTTTCAAACAAGTAATATATAACGTTAAAAAAAAGCCGCCAATAATACTTAAAAGAGCTGCGAAAATGTCGAGGACCCATATGATAAAGCCAAACAGAAAACGAGAGAAGCGTTTTCAATGCGTCATTCAACCAATGAAAGTTCGAAACAGAAAAACCTCGGAACCACACGAAGCCTGCTGCAGTACTTATAATGTCACATGCGAAGTGAAAACAAATACAAGACCTAAAGACATCTACAGATGATGAACAACAATTTCTCAACCCAACTCGAAGCGCACATAAAGTACTTTTTCTTTGAATGCGTAACATTTACACCAAGTAGTCAGTACACAAATGAAATAAATCAGCAGCAAAAAGAGCCTGGTGATCTACCTGCACCTTAGTCTTCCTCGTCGTGAGACATGGTTTCCCCGTAGCTGATGGAACCTGAACAGTTTAATAGAAGCTCAGTAGTGTTACAAATGTGATAAGATTTAAGGCTGCTTTTAATGAGAAATCTTCTCATTCAATACTGTTATATTTTGATGTGTCTTTTGCATCATGTTCCAATTTTACTTCTGCCGTCGTCTTCTACAGTCACATAACACCCTATCAAGCATATTCCGTTCTTCCGTACGTCCTAGACGGCCCAAGGAATAAGGAGCTGTGTGGGTCTGTGGGACCCACAATCTCCGGAGGAGGCGAGTCCAGACTGCTGGGCAGAAGAGGATCGGCCGTCGTCGGCTCTGTGGTGTGGACCCGAGAAATAACAGCTAAGGTATTGCAGGAGGAATGAACTATGACTTTCTGGTGTGACTCGTGAAAGAGAAGAAGAAGATGAGTGCCTCCATCAAGTGACAGCAACTGATGCATCTAGGAACCCAAAGATGTTTCTGGCGCTATTTAATGTTCTCGTCATGCTGAACATGGTAAGAAACTCTCCAATCTTGAACACCGTTCTATGATTTCTTGATTTTTTATAACTCCCGTTAAGTTTACGAATCGCAATTAGATACATTTAAATTAAGTGCGTGGATGCATTAGAGTCGAGTGGTTTCACTCTATAGTTGCTGATTCTAGCAGGTTCAATAGCTTGTTCCATAAACGTACAGCGCATTTTGCTGCGCAGTTCTGGATGGTGAGGATAAATTATTTTGTGTAATATCCGCGGCGGCGTGATGCCCCCACCCTCGGCTGTCCGGTAGTGGGCGTGCCCGGCCGCGTAGTCACTGTCGAAATAATTGAACGCCATCCAACCGCGACAGGTCGAACGCAGCCCGCGCGCAGCACGTCAATAGGGCCTGCGAGAAGAATGTGAGGGATGTGCTGCGAGCTTCGGGGATGGAGTGGTGATGCGGTCTGTTCGATGGCGATAAAGGATGCAAAGTTTGATAGCTGAGCGGATTGTATCTGGTAGATGGAACCGAGGATATGGTTTGTCAGAGATAACGGTGGAGGGAAAGGTGATGCGCAAGAGAAAGGCCGCTGGCGATTTGTTTGAATATTCGCCGGGGGTATGAGGTTTCAAGTGCTTCTGGCCGGGGGGGGGATGAGGCCCTATTATCTGTTTGAGATGGGTGTGGTCTTCGGTGGTTCCCTTGTGGGCGCCGCGGTCTCTCTGGATAGAGGACTAACTTTTTGGACTGTTAATTTGTACTGCATACGTTTTTTGTAGCTGGCACGTCGATGTGACAAGCCATAAGAACTGTTGGCGTGAGAAGAAAGGTATCTTAGACAGAGAAGTCATATGATTTCGTCCTTTTGGAACTCTGCATGAGCTGTTCTTGTTTCTGGTAACGAAAATTAACCAACACATATTAAACATGCGATTAAAAAATAGAAATGGTCTGCAGAGTATGATCTACTTCGTGTGTCCGCGAAATGTGGCGCCCAGTTAGGGAAGTCTTGCAAACTCATTGTAGGCGTTTTTCTGCAATGGCTAGCGCCGCGGAAAGTCGAGAAGCAAAGGAAGGACCGGTCAGCAGGATGGCGCCCTGTGAAGTTCAGACTTGTGGTTTTCTGAGCAGGCTGAGGGCCGAGGAGGAGCAAAGGAGGCAGCAGGAGGCCAGAGAGCGGCAGGAGAGGGCGACGCAGAAGGAGGAGGAGGAGAGGAAGAGGCTTGAGGAGGGAGACGGGAGGAGGAGGAGAGACGGCAGAAGGAGCAGAGATGGAAGGACATGCAGGATCAGCTGGACAGAGAGGTCCGTGTGAATGAAACGACCTATGATGTGTTTTATTGTTACGGAGGTGATGCTGCTCAGTGTTTGCATAGTTGACCTTCTTGTTTTGCTTTTTTCTTCGACATTTAGAGTTTATCATTCGCCTGAATTATGCTGAACATGACCAAAGGAGATTTCTCCTTCACCAGGTGGTATTTTGACCACTATCACCGTCCCCTGAATTCAATCGACATCAATAAAAAACTGATAGCTTAGTTAAGGCGACATGTGTAAAGTTACTGCTGCACGTATGTCTTCACCTGCATTGAGTTCTCTGCTGGTGGATTTGGGGATCTTCTTCTCCGATGTCTCAGATTTGGTGGATTTCCTCTCCAGGGTGCTGTGACCTTTGACCTCGTCGGTGCCGGGGGTGGTGGCTCTCTGCCGGAGAGGGGAGGGCGGGTACTGACCAGGGGAGCAGGGAGACTGGGCGCGACTCCTGCTGGACCTCACCCTGAAGCAACCAACAGAGTCACATCAAGTCACCTGTGCTTCAGGTGAAGTGTGCGTGTTCATGTTCAGACATGAGAGGACAGAAAACTGGCACGTGACTATATTTGGGACAAAATGCCCATCCCGTGGTTAGGTTTAGGCTGAGCGTATGTAAACACACAGTGTGTGTGTGTGTGTGTGTGTGTGTGTGTGTGTGTGTGTGTGTGTGTGTGTGTGTGTGTGTGTGTGTGTGTGTGTGTGTACCGTTTCGGTGTGGCGGGGCCCTTGCTGTTGGCCCTGAAGGAAGAACTGCGGCTTGGTGTGTTTGCTGACTCCCCCTAAAAGTCAGATTTCACAAATATTACTGGCTGTACAAACACATGATAATCAGAACATCAGGACTTCGTGAAGCTCTTGTTATAGCCGTGTAACTGGAGACCCATCAGTGAGGATGAGTCAGGATGAAGCTTCATCATGCTGGATGCAGCTTACTCACATCAGTAACGACTACAACATCAGTTTGTGAACGACGTGAGCAGTCGTTTTCCTGCCTCATTAAAACTCAGTCCTTCCTTCCTGTCCGAAGCATCAGTGCAGAACGACAGAGGATCATCTTACATGCTCGTTAGCTGGAATAAAACTTCATGAATCTCAAACAGTTACTAAACAGTTCTGACTGCATAGATGTTTGTTAGCATACAAATGAATTCATTACTGAAAGCTTTACTGGCTTTTTGACCGGTGCGGCCCAGTTTAGTAACTTGCACATCTTTAATCCTGCAGCTACATCCTGAAACTAGTCAGTACCGAGCAGGAACCCAGTCTGAGGCTGAAATAATGAGGTGGAATGAAAAACTATCAGCTCATCTAATGTTTGCTTGAGGCTGGCTCTGACAGAGAGTCCCCACACACTCAGAATTCACATATTTAGAGCAGAAATAAAGACATTTAGAGTTTGGTATGACTGCATGGGGGGATTTTTCTGTACCTCATGTTAAGGTTTAAAGTTTGGGGCTTGGCCGCACTGTCTGACACACATGACAACACAAGTGCAGAAGCTCCCAGCTGTATACTAATCTTCATCTTAGCTCCATGTGTTTGCACTTCCTTTTTTAACAGTTTTACCCTGAGAGGCTTAAGACATCAGCAGTGTCAACTATAACTCTAACCCTAAAGATAAAAAGAACAGCTTTAAATATGTAGTACTTTACAAACAGAGTTCACACACTGCAGCAGAAAAAGTGTGACAACAACAAATTCAAACAGAGGTGCAGACATTAGGCTAAAAGACAAAACAGAACAAAACTAAAGAAAAGTTCAGATGCACAAAAACACAAAACCCCACCTGTAAACATATTCAAATCTTTTATAACCCAAGAAAAAATAAAATAGTGTTTTATTGGTCTGTTATTTAGCACAAGATTTCTGTGTCCCTGCATCGCGCCATAATCATTCCACTCTATTGTTCAAATATGACTTCTGGCTCTAAGAAAAACACAACATGGTCAAAATGTTAACACAACCAGAGTCCAAACACCACGTTTCATACAGGTAATGCCTGTTACCTGGCTACAGTGCTGACACTCAGACTGCAGGACAAATACACAGTCCTGCAGTTATTAACCTCTTACAAAGAAACCAGAGACTTACAAAAGCAACGGCAAGTGATTCACCCAGCAACACATCACACAGAGTCCACAGCTCTGGGAGAGTGAAGGTTCATGAGTCCTATAAGATTACCACACAGCACACAGTTGCTAATGTGTTTGTGTGTGTGTGTGTCTGTGTGTCTGTGTGTGTGTGTGTGTCTGTGTGTGTGTGTGTGTTGTGTGTGTGTGTGTGTGTGTGTGTGTGTGTGTGTGTGTGTGTGTGTGTGTGTGTGTGTGTGTGTGTCTGACCGTGGGTGTTTTGGCTCTGGATGTTTCTTCGGGGAACCCAGCGATGCTTCTGCGGTTGGAGGAACTCCTGGTTAGTTTGTGGTTGTTGGATGAAGCTGTTCGATGGGACACAAAAGACACTGACGGGTCAAAGACGGACACACAGAAATAACACGTGAAACACGTTTACAACATACAGACAGAGACACAGATGGAGGAGAATGAGACGCTCGGTTAGGAAGACACGTTGTGCAAACAAATGAGAAACCGTTTCTGCTTTTTCTGCTGACTCTGACCGGAGAGGCTCACTGCGCTTCCAGATAGAAAAAACAGCATTAACTTTTTGTCCCTTAAAAACACAAGTAAAATATTTTTAACAAGTAAAAAGCTGGTCTTTTTAACACACGATGATTGATGTAAATTAATGTTTTTCTTCATGACTTTCAGACAATGTCGGGAAAATGCAGCTGCGATATTGTCTCAAGGTGGAAATCATGCGCCTGAGATGTGTTCATATTTAGGCGAGGGGTGATGGAGGACGCCTACAGTTACCTGCAGGATCCTAACATGTATGGATAAAGGAGCTGGCAGGTTAAAGAGTACATAATGTCTTTTCCAACATCAAACTCAAGGTGCTGCAGAGTCGCTGAGATTTGTTTCTGAGGCGACTTTCATTTTGTCATCGTTTTCCCAGATCTCACAGGATTTATGCATCCAGCTGCATGTTGCAGGGTAAGAGGGGTCTAAACCTTCTCCTCCGCCCAATAAAACACAGACTCCAGCCGTGTGGGGTGAGCCAGGAACAACGGCTTGTATCTGCCTACTTAACTCTTTCATCATTTGCCAATCAACAACCTAAATGTCTCAGGAAGTTAAGTCTGCTCACGTGGACGTAGTGTTTTCAGAAACATTTGATCACTCACCACAGATTGAAGACTGAACAGAACCAACTTTAAGGGTTTTCCTTACTTGGATGATTGAGCATGAATCAAGTTGGCTATTTGCTAACATCCAAATATTTGAGACAATATGGTGCTAGAAATAATTCTGCTGCCGCCCCCTGTGTGAAAACCAGCCGTGCAGGTGATCAACTCAACACTGGCACCTGTGAAAAAACCTGAACAAGCTCAGAGAGACGAGATGGAGGTAACGACTAAGAAAGCAAAGACTGATCTAAGAAGATGATTCAGGTGAGGGAGCAGATGCTTGTTTGTACACGATGTGTCCTGCAGCTGCTGAGGAGGAGCACAGGGAGACAAACAGCAGAGGAATAACTGCCTACATGCATCAACCTTGATGTTCTACCCAAGTTTATTAGATCCATGCTGCAGAGTGCTGTTACCTATAAAGCAGGAGTGCTGTCTGTTTGGTCTACAGGCACAGAGCTGAAAGAACTCTTATCTGCGCAACTTCTTCACACTTTTACTTTTACATGTATTTGTTTTGATCTGAAACACTGGAAACAAAGAGTTAAGCCTGAATCCTGCTCTCCAGTTTGGTACTCGGGTGATTTTTAGTTTAAGGTTCATAAAGTCTCACCTCTGTCCGGTGAGTGAAGAGCAGCTGAAGAGTTGGAGAGCTGTTTGTTGATTGGCTGATCAGATGGTGGAGACAGGAAGTCAACCGCTGAAGTAACACAAAAACAAAAAAGCGAATCATTTAAACGGACACACACACCACAGCGACTTAAACAGCTGCTGCTCGGTGTAAAACTGTCCAGTGAACGTCCGATCCCAGCACAAACACCCCTCACACGACAAACGCAAATCTGCCGGCTCACGCAGAAAATAATCCCACTGATCGATGAGCCGTGCAGGGCGCTGAATGAATTAACCTTGGTGATGTAAGACAGAAACGAAACAGCAGCAGAGACGCACACACACACGAGGAAGTGCTTCATCATGAAATGGAGGATGATGATAGCGAAGCAGCGACTGCAGAGCCATGAAGCTGTGAGGTGAACGTTTCAGAGACGAGAGACGCGACCGGACAAAAGCAGGACTTAAAAACTCAGTTTGTGACCAAAGACTTGATCTGCTCTCTGGGATTTTCTGGGATAGCGATTAGATTTTAGGAGTAAAGGATTATTTTCTTTCCAAATAATCCAAGTTTGCATGATTTTTTTTTATTCACTTTTATCTTTAGGAGAGTGTGTTGTTAACCTGTTTAACATAAAACATTTATTTTAGCGAGCTACTATAAGTAAGTAATAAAAATAATAAAATATTTACTGTCAGTAAGTTCATTCATAATCTTCAAAAAACGATTTAAAAACATGTTTTACCTCACAGTCACTCAGACGTCATGTCACAGTTTTTGTTTTATTTTTTTCATATTCCTAAAATATTTGTTAAGTTTAGTCTTTGTTGCCTCATTAGTTTAACCAATTATCTTGTTTTTCTGTTTCTTCTAGTTAATTATACCCTAAAATATGTTGTAATTGTTTTAACTAAATGCTACAAATGTTTCAATTAATGTAATTAACTTAAATACATTTACTTTGATCTGATGAATTCAGAGAAAATATTTATTGATAAACAGAAAGCAATGAGCCACAGTTATCGTTTATATTTGTGTCTTTTTCCAGCTTAGTGTTGTTACGATTTAAAATGATTAAATAAAGCTGATTTTTAGGATTTTTATGTACACATTGCTCTCTGTGCACTCCGAGTCGGCACGCTGTGTTTTTGAGGGTCGAAGCGTCATTCAGCGTTACGACTGAATTGAAATATTGAATAGACGTAGAAGCGCAGAGAGTCTTTACTGCATGCTTACACATCACAGCAGATAACAGTCAGGAGGATATTTTCTGGGCCAAAGGAAGCGTCCCGAATGTAGATAATAAATAGAATCAGTATCAGGATAATATTAATAATCAAGGCAGGTGTTTCTGTCTCTGTCCTTCCAGGAAAGGAGCAGATAAGAGGGACTTGAACGAAGAGGAGACTCGAAGGGACACAACAAGACAAGTTGGTTCTGAAAGAAGATAGTCGTAATAATAATGTGTTATTGTTGGGGTATAAAACTGTGGCCCGATTCAAAGTCATCCTTTCTGTGAAGCAGACCGATGGTTTACATCGAGGTCTGTAACTTGTAATATCAACTGCCGAATCTTTTTAAGTGACAAATATTTCTCCTGTACTTCTTTGATTGAAACAGTGTCCTGACTGCAGTTTTAAACTCTGATTCATTTACTCTGTTTCTCCTGAAATTACTACCAAACAACACAGGAAAGGTCTTTTTTTGTTTTTAGGGCTTTTGTTTTTGCCTTTCGTGTTTTGTGCAAAAGTGCACCAGCAGGTCAGGCCGAGTGCAAAACACCATGGAGGTTAGTTGAGTCGGTGATATGGGACAGTAATGATCGCATGGTGTCTGTGTGTGAGAGCGTGTGAGGTCTAATAAGTTTCACAGATAGCTGCAGGGTGAAGTCTGCTATGATTTATGGTGTGTGTGTGTGTGTGTGTGTGTGTGTGTGTGTGTGTGTGTGTGTGTAGTAACAGGGTGTTTCATAGACAAAATTCCCTGCTGAGAAAAATACGTATGCATCGCTAAACAAGGCCTTGGGCCAGGAAGACAGGAAGTGGAGCAGCCCTTTGTTGTGGGGGTGGGAGAGCATGTGTGTTGCATACGCACTTATGTGTGGTGGGGCTTTCAAACCAGATGCTCATTAGACAGTAAGAGGAGATATGACGGCACTGTTGATGAAGATGGGTGGAGAACACAGGCAGCTGACACAAATAACACACACTGAGTGGGTCGGAGGTCACGCATTTGATTGGTTTTAACTCTTTCCGATCAGCGCTGTCACCACTGTGTGAAGGTCAAAGCTCCTGTAAACGTTAAAAAACATTTAGAGCTCTACAGAGATTTTTGTTTTTTGAGTAAAGATTTCACACATTAAGTTTTTGGGAACATTTTTAGCTTTAAAATGTCTGTAAAAACCTTTGAAAAGTTAAAGCACAATGTTGTCCTTTGATGAGCAGATTCAGCAGTGGAGGCTGTTGTATGGCCAGATAATAAGTGATAATGTAGTTACCTGTACATGTAGTAAATATAACCATACATACACCTAAACTCTATGCATGTTGAGCTTTAATAAAAAGCTGCTTTCGTTATCACCTTTTTTAAATTGAATATATTGACTTGTTTCTTTCAGCCTTTCTTTATGCTTCTGCATAGATTCTCCTTTTCTGTGCCACATGTGGCACTGAAATATGTTAACATTTACAACTTTTACTCAGAAAATAAATGTATTTACAGCCTGCTTAAAAAACGCTGCCTCTGGATAGTTTCCTACTTCATAACAGCAACAGATATTTTTACAATTTCCTTATTAGAATTGTTTTAAGGACAAAGTTAGGCTTGTGCTGCTTTGACTGAAAGTTGGATGGCAAGGAAGGCGAATGCAGCTGCAGCTGTCTGCCAGGCTTCACCTCAGTTAACTGGAGTAACTCATGTGGACCAATAATATTGATTACTGTGCAGTTAATTGTACTAACACATTGTCTGTGCTCCAGTTTTGGTGAATGAAAGTCTAATAACTCATTATTAGCTATCTGTGTCTGTATGAATGCAGGCTGGTAACAAAGCCAGCTATTGTTAGCTGATAGCTTAGTACTCCACCCTCTCATATAAGCACGGCCACTCTAGCTAAAAAAAACAAAAAACACATGATGGCTGACAAAACTCACGTCCACTGAGGTGTGCCAACATACTGCACATGCTGCTACATTTACTGCAGAGGAAACCTGTGCAAACTTTTTTGCTGCAACTTTGTTTACAAATATTCAGATTTATATTCCACTTTATCGCTGGTGGAGCGCGTTTTATTAGGTCCTCTAAGAACAGTCGTGACAAAAATCAGTGCAAACATTTTTAAAAGGATTGAAATATAATACACACGACTATCACACACTTCAGGATGACGCTACAGCTACGAACATGCAAACAGAGGATCGACTGCAGGTGGCGGTGGGTGGGTGTGGCACACATAGTCATGTGGTCTGTACCGTTACGGGACTGGCTGGCACTGGAAGCAGCAGGAAGCTCATTGGGCTGAGCGGAGCCAATGGCATGGCAGGGTGGGGTCTTAGGGTTACCTGGGCAGCAGGTGAAGCAGAGCGGAGAAAGCAAAGCATTACATACTCACACACACACACACCTGTTTCAGGGACACATGACAGGCATACAAACAGAAAACAACAACCAAGCTCGGTGCGCACACACACGCTGGGTTAAAGTGAAAGAGGCATCAAAATCTGTTCAAAAACATTGTAAAGGCAAACGAGCCAACAAGAGGGAGAGTGAAACACAACAAAGCTGTGACACGAATACGTGCAAAAGAAGTGTCACTGCCCTCTCAGGGAAGATCTAAGATCCTGTTCTCATCATGTGGAGGTTCAAGCAACATCTGCTGTAAGAGAACTGTTTAAACTACCATGTTCAGCATGTAGGCAGATCTACAGGTTCTGAACAATGACGCTGGACATTATTGTAGTTTTGATTCTTTACACCACCACAGAGGATTTGAAATCAAACAGTGAACATGTGTTATTAGAGTATTGGATTCACACAGTCTCCCATTTTCAGTAACTTAACTGACTGACAACCAGCTGGCCGGCTGAGGCCTGGTTCCTCATTATTTTATGACAAATTCAGCAGATAAAAGAAGTGGAGTGTGCCGGTAGCTGTTCACTGAAACTGTCACTGTGACATCCAAAGACACGTCAGTGCAAGTGAAGGAGGCCGTCATTAGGCTGACAGGCCAAAATAAACTCTCTCCGATCAGGCACAACATTATGACTTGTATAATATTGTGTCCAGCTGTTTGCTACAGAAACAGCAAACAGATACAATGTGTTGTGTACTCTGACACCTTTCTACCAGGAATGACCTTTTTTGCAATTTCAGCTATAACAGCTCATCTGTTGGATCGGAGCAGAGCCGGCCTTTGTTCTTCATGTGACCCTGTCGCTGGTTCATCACTGTTCCCTTCTTGGACCACTTGATGCGCTGTTAGCAGTGTTAGCAGTGTTAGCAGTGCTACGATGAACAGATAATCTTCATTATGGCACTAACAGGTGTCATGATGAAGAAACAATCAGAGCGATTCCCTTCATATGACAGTGGTCATGACTATTAAGACTGATCGGTGTATAAAAGACAAAAAAACCTTTCGTAGTGGCCAAATCAATAATCTGGTTCATTCTCAAAAACAAGGAAGACACTGGTGAGCTCAGGGACATCAAAAGGCCTGAAAGACCACAGAAGACAACTAAAGTGGACGATTACAGAGTTCATTACTTGCTTAAAAAAACATCTAACCAATCAAGAACATTCTAAGAGAACATAGGTTACATTATGTAAAAGAGAGTTTATAAAAAGATGCAAACCATTTGAAAACAAGAAGAAAACATCTAAAAGAGTTCTGAAAGAAAGTCTTTGAAACCAAGATTAACCAGGACCAGGACGACTGGAAGAGGCAAGCAGCTCATGATCTGAAGCATAACACATCACCTGTCAAACATGGTGCAGGCAATGTTTTGACATGTGTATGTGTGGCTGCCAGTGGAAGTGGGTCACTAGTATTTATTGATGATGTGACTGCTGATAGAAGCAGCGGGACGAGTTGTGAAGCGTACAGGGTTAGACTCTCCTCAGATTCAGGCAAATGCTGCACAACTGATCAGAGCTCCACAAGGCCCCGTGGGATTAAAGATGAACGCCTGCATTTCAATCACATGTCGGCTGTGTGATTTAAACTCCACTGTGGTGGTGAACAGACGCAACATTAAAAAGGAAAGTGCCATTGTCCAAAAACGCATACACAGATATACTGCTGGGTCCCTTTGAATGCTCCTGTATTAACATCACCCGGTGCCAGTTCGGATCAATAACCGTAATCTCAGTGCTTATTTTTAAATTATTCCCCCAAGTCTTGGCAACAAGAGGAGAAATAATCCTTTGAAAATGGACACACATAAAAGAAATCCTAATATTTTTTTCACAGGGTTGTGTATCTGCTGTGATCCCGGTTGGGTAAAAATCTGCTGCTATCACGGCCTGAACACCTTGTTCGAATAAAGTAGCAGCTCATTTTGGAGCTCGGGACCAGAGGAAAATACGCAGCACACAAACACACACACAAAAACACACACTTTGCGTCTTTGGGTGAGTGTCTGTCCTTTAATCGAGCTGTAAGATGAGCTGGTGCCGTTTCTGCTGCAGTGAGCGTTCTGCCGGGCCCCACAGATCCCAGAGCAGCGCCTCTTCCCCAGTCAGCCGGGCCGGAGCCAGAGGAGCTGCCTGGTGGACCCGATCCCGGCTCAGCTGGTGGGTACTGTGAATAATTGATGGCGTTATGAATGCACCACAGCATAGAGCCAGGCTCGGGCCGACAAGAAGACAGAAAACATCTCAGAAAAGAGTGACGGTGAAGAAAAGAGATAAAATACGAGTGATGGAAGTTGGCTCAGTGAACAGCCCTGTGTCGCACTTTGTTTATGTGTGTGGCCTTGTTGCGTTCAAGGTCTTCTGAGAATTAGTCCTGCATCCCAGCTCGGAAATAAAACACACAAACATAAAAATAAACCGGCACCTGTAGCACGTTTAAACAGCAGTTTACAGGCACAGCTTGACCCCGTCTGATCAGGCTGAAGCTTTATGAACTCACTCTGAGTCTCTCTAAAGCCTGAAGGGGTCTGGAGACAAAGCGTTCCTGCATTGCAGCCTCCCCACCCTTTTCCTCCACTGCCCCGCTGTGTTTTCTCCTTCTCTATATCCTCACTTCACCTGCTCTTTGTCCTCTGCTTTTACGTCTCCACCCTTTATTCCCACAGCTACCCCCCCGTCTCCTCCTGACCTCCAGACCTCCTCCTCCTGAAACATCTCTCCACTTCTCCATCACTACCAACCCCCCCGAGTTCTAGAAATCAAACCCACCCTCCAATGACATCATCATCATTTCTGTTGGTACTCACCCTCCACTCCATCAGGCGGTCCTCCCCATGTCCACCGTTTAGGCCTGTTATCCAGGTGCTCCCGGGCTTCTCCTCCACCTCCACCTCCTCCTCCTCGTCTTTCAGGGCCCCCGGCTCTTCGGCGTACCATGGCCTCCAGCCTCTCCTGCTCGTTACGTTCAGAAACAGGGAAGAAGAGAGATTCTCTTACCGAGCCATCGCTACGGCGACGGATGCCGGGCGATGCACTCGGAGATGGCTGCGCCATGGTTACCGCATGCAGCAGCAGCGGCAGCGGCCTCGCCCCTCTTCGCGCTCGTCTGTTTGCTGTCTGCTGGTGGTCACCAGCCCTCGCTCGCCCGTCTGCCACTCAGTGATACAGCAGCTCTGTTCGCTCTCTCTCCTCCGTCTGCCGCTCCCTCTCTCCCTCTCCCCCACCTCGCAGTTCAATTCACTCCTCCCTCTCTCTCTTCCTCTCTCCCTCTCTCTCTCTATGTCGATCACCCACTCCCTCTCTAATGACTGAGTCTGTTTCTGAAGCACTTTAGTCAGGCGGGAGGAGGCAAAATGCAGCCCGTCACCACCCCCCACCACATACATACACATGCATGAACACACACGTTTACACAGGGGACCATGCCTGCACACACACACAGATGGTGGGTGGATCGGAGATTGATACTGGTTGCATTTCTTTCATGCTTTTGCCTTCCTCTACCTTGGCCTCTGGACTGCATGCATGCTGCAGTGTGACAATAACCATTCCTAGAAAATAAAAACACACACTCGGCACTGGGGAGTGACTGGCAGACACAGATTAGTAAACCATGACTGGGTACAATTATTAATCTTACATCATGCTCACAGTTTGAGGAAAACAATAAAAATCTTTCATGGATTTGGGCCTGTATGAACTCACAGAGACATTTCTGTTGAATATTAAAGAAATGTTATGGCGAGACAGCTGTTATTCCTAATGATTTACATTCTTAATGTCTACATGCTGGAGTCACGGTGAGGTCCTTGTTCTATTATCTGTGGGAAGGATTTTGCTCCAGATCACAGAGCCCATTCAGCACAATTTTAACTTATCACACATTGACACACCCAAATAAAATACTATAAATTGCTACATGCAACCTAATTCTGTTTTGCAACCTTATCCTTGAGCAAGAGCTACTGGGAAAACAGACAAAGACCCTGGATGCAAACCTCCTGCCCTCTGCTGTGAGCTGTGTGCTGCTGTTACTATAGAGGACCTCGCTCCTTTGTTCCAGAGCATCATTATTACTTAGTGAATGTCTGATTGCCCTATTGTGCTTACAGCTGTAGATGCACTGTATGCACATGCAGAGTATTTCACATGCAAAATACATACAAATACGAATGTGAAAATATTTCTCCCTAAAACACCTTGTGGCCTCAAGTGACGCCTCAAAAATCCAACCATTCAGGTGGACGTTCAGCCAAGAAAAGACTTCATAAAATTTGGATTCTTGCATTATAAAAACGCACCAACAGCAGATTTTTTAAATAAACCACACAGTTAAAATAAAAACACCCCGTCAGCATCTGCAACGCCCAGATCTGAGATGCACGGGACAAATCCAAACTACTCTGCGCTGCATGCAAACGTGACATGTTGACATTTCCAAAGTTCACCTCACTCGACAACAGCTCGAGGCTGGTTCTTATTTTATCGGCACTTCTCGCTCTTTGTTAGCCGGCATCCCAGCCACAAAAAAAGACAAAGTTTGTTGGCTCTGTCGTTTGAAAAAGAGATATATTGACAATTATTTTGAGATGTTCAATATAAGAGCGTTGAAGGTCAGTTCAGAGGTCGAGCAAAGTGCAGCGTTTATTTAAGCTGACAGGTTCACTAGAAAAGTCAAAGAGCACAAGACACAGCTGGGCAAAGGGCTTTATGTGCAGACAAGCAGGTGCAGTTAATACGCACAGGTAAAGGTAATCAGGGCGAACGGACAATAATGAAGGAGGAAGTAATACCAATGGAAGACATCCAAGAAAGCCAACCTTCAAAGTAAAACAGGAAATAAACAAAAGACCGCTAACACTAGAGACACAAAACTACGGCCACAAAAAGAAATAACAAAATAGTTGACTGACCCAAAAACTCAATATAAAACTAAACAAAAACCAGAACAACTAAAGCTCTGCATTACAAACAGCCCTACAAACCTCAATAACACAACACCAGCAAATAAGTCAGAAAATCATAGATCCCACGTCGAAGCACACGTGAGACCTCAGAAAGGCAGAATTCAAATATATATAAAACACATTTATATAAATCTAAATGTTTTAAGGGGCAAAATAAGGAGTCAATTACCTGAAAAGTAAAATCCAGGGAATAAATTCATGGAACCAAAATTAAAGTCCTCACTGGTGTATTAGAAACACTTAATTAGGGTTCAGTTTTAGATTCATGACTTTGTCGGGTTTCCTAATGTCATTAAGTGACGGACACTTATTTCCATTTTGACATTCATATTTGATGAATATAAACATGTAGGATGCCAAATAAAGGCGCCAGGCACCTTAAAGAAATCAGACACATTTGTGAATCTAAAATGAGCTGTTATTATATTCAGATATATTAAAGCAGTAAATTGAAGCCTTTTAAGATTAAAGAATATTTCAGGCTCAGGTATATTTGTAAAGGCCCCTTTGTTTTATTTTGATATTTGCTGTTTTTCATATTTAAACTGTTTATTTGTTCAAAATAAATAAATGTTAAATGTTTGCAAATTTGTTGGGTTGTCCGATTGTCCTTCTTTAGAAAACAGACTTTTATTTGAAACTATTTATATTTATGTAAAAATGTAAGAGCAGAAGAGAAGCATTTTCCATTTATTGATGTTCTCATTGCCTTATGAGGTAAATATTATCATCCCTGCATTTATTTTTATGTGTATTTTTTATTTGTTTATTCATATTATACCTGTTTGTACACTGAGCTGTTTCTGTGTTTGTTGCAGAGGGTAAAAAGTGAGCCGTCTGCTTTTTATGTGGCTCAGCTTTCTGGTCATACTGGATTTCCAATCATCGACCATTAAGGTGGCCCATGCAGAGTAACTGCCCAGCACAGAGCTGAAACACTGCTTCAGTGTACTGTCTGTATATGGAATGGGTGGAAATGCCCCACCTCAGCACTATGGGGGTGGGGTGAAGGTGTATGCACAGTCACGCACATAACTGCAGGAGGAGGGAGAGGCTGCGGGGGAGGGGGAGTCAGGATTTAAAGGGAGACAGCAGAATGTGATGAAGGTGAGGGAGGGAGTGAAGATGTGGAAAGAGAGTGGAAGATCAAAGATAGAGAGGAGGGCTGGGATGGATGAGCAGCCTGCAGGTCCCCTCATAACTGACTCCTGATGAGTACTTTTACTAGAGTGCAATTTGCTTTATTTATCAGCGGCAGAGCTGATTGAGATGATTTACAAGGCAAACGTGGCAGAGTTAGTCATAATGGACTCGTTTACCTCTGCAGTGCTGAATGTGAAGTGAGCCTGTCTGATGAGATGAAAGGATTCAACACAAACCGTTCATGAGACAAATAAAACAAAGAGTCGAGTGCTGCAGGTGAGCTGTCAACAAGACACGGTCAGTAATTAATAACACTACTCAAAGTAATAGTATTTAGACAAAAATGAACCAGGTTCAGTTTTTATCTCCAAAATAACCTCAGACTGATATTAAATCCATTCTGCATATTTTATTCTTGGGCTTTATTAGAGTAGCTTTGCATGATTCTCAGTTCAAAATAATCTGGTTTTATGTTATACTGAGCCTTTGTGCAGCCCCTCAGTTTATCCTCTGTCTGAAACGATCCACTTTAGCTGCTCCCACTATGAAAACGCTACGTCCACATGAACAGAATCAGCTTTTTGGGATTGTTGGCTGCCTCTCATAAACAGAAGGTTTGACCATATTAGCGGTACCAGCTCTCTATCGCCTCACAGCAACACTTGTACAAACACTGACCTCCTTATTTCAAACCCTGGTCATGATGGTTATGTTTAAGTGTAACAAAACCCTCCTCTGCTTTGGTTTCTGGGAGGTGCTGCTTCACACCACACAGAGTGAAGCAGGTCCCGGCGACATACTCAAACGGGGAGGCATGATCAAATGATGGAGGTCAGCCGTGACAACACACCCACTGTAGCATCCCTCCCCACCACACACATCTAACATGGTGGAAAACTCCCGAGCAGCGTGCACATGACATCACATGAGAAACCTCAATGTACACACACACATTAAATTTGATTTGTACAAGGCCAATTAATAAATCTGAGGCGTTATAAAGAGTTAACTGCAGAGACAAACACTAAAATAATAAGTCTGCAAAAAAAGGATTTAAAATCCTTTTTAAAGGATTTTAAATCCTTTTTAAAGGATTCTATTATCTCTAGTTTTAAAACCACTAAACTCCAATGCAGAGCTGGAATAACTGAAATTCATCAACAGACGATAAAAAAACAACTATTCCGATGACTACTCATTAAAACGTTATTGCTTCTAAAAGGTGAGAGACTTTACAACTTCTTTTTGGGATAGGAAACATTTTAAACTCCAGGTGATTCTGACTGGTATCTTCTCCTCGTTTTATTCCTGGTTTATAGATTCACCTAAAAAGCACAAGAGCCCCGGTTCGATCCTGGGAGGAGACAAATCCCTGTGGGGTTTGTGTCAGGAAGGGCGTGAAACATCAGCCAAATCGAGCATGCGAGGCTACCCGCTGTTGTGACTCCTTGTGAATAAAGGAGCCATTGAAAGCAGTTTTTATTTTTGTTTCATAGACAAAACTATTTATTGAGTGGTTCAGAAAGGCCCGGAGTAGCCTCTAAAACGAGCCTCGTGGAACCAAAGCTCAGTAGCGCACTGCACCACAGAACATGGAGGAACTTATCTGCTTTAAATACTGACAAATGATTAGTGAGCTAATGAATTTATGGAGCTGCAAAGGATTACTGTTATATTTTTATAATGGATTCATTGTTTTTCATCTATCAGTGCTAAACGATGATCAAAAACCTTCTTGAATGTGGTTTATGGGTCATGGTGAGGTCTCTCCTTCCTGGTACAATCAATATAAATTTAAAAAATGCATCCCGCACTGTGACTACAAGCTATTTCGTTTTAAGTACTTTGCTTTGTTTTAGTTTGGCTCCTGCATTAACTCTCTCTCGTCACGTGAAGCATTTCGATCCTGCAGCTTTGCTCTCCGGTTCAAAGGTGAAATATGTGCTTGTCACAGCATCGACTGTCTGTTCCAGTAAACGACACACGATACGCTGGAGGTGATGTCATCGTCCCGTGAGCCCAGCTGATCATTATATCATTAAGTTATGCATATGAGGCGGAAGACACGAGGTGGAGGAGGAGGTGGAGGCTGTTAGCAGTCAAAGAGAGCCTCCACATCAATAGAGATAATAATCCCCCTCCTCCTCCTCTTCTTCTCTCTCCTCTCTGTGCACCACCTGTTAACCCCTTGTGTGCTGGTTAGCTTTCCAACAACCACCAGAAATGTATGCTCTCGATACGACACAGCCGATCATTAATTCAGCAGTGTAATAACATGAGTCAGTGGTTTTAGGCAGAGTGATGCCCACTCATGACTCACGCAGAGTGAGGTGAGGTGTTTCACTGAAGAACAAGTAAAAACAGAAAGAGCTCGTCTCAGCAGCTCAGCAGGATCCCACACCACAGCTACATCATCATATCTGCTGCACATCCGTCTGTGAGTCTGAGTCATTTCACAGGATTATGATCTAAAGAAATAGTCCAGCAAAGGAGACAATTACTGCCTTTGTCTGCAGTGTAGTAGGAATGGTCATATAAGAGATCGCAGAAATGCTGAATGGCTTATGGATCATTTTTTAATATATACTTTTCCCTTGTTGTTACCAGCGCCTGCTAAGCTGTAATGTGCTACTACTGCTAGAAGGTGGCAGTAATGTGCCTCTGAGCCGTTTGCCAGCTTTTATTAAGCAGCACAAAGAAAAATTGCTTCGACTGAGAACTTCTAACAAAGAAGAGCTCTCCTCTTCCACACAGAGGCCAGGATGAGTGGGGCTCTGTGGAGCTGTAGAAACAATGCAAACTTTGCAGCGTAAACATTTTTCTTTTGGAAAATTTAATCCGGTTTTTAATAACAGTTGCTCAATAAATAGTTCCAATTTTTGATTTTAATGAAACGGCCCTCTGTAAGTGCTCCACATGTCACTGCTTGATTTCAGGCTAAGTCAGCCTCACTGTACGAGAGCTGTTTTTTCAGCGTGATGCAGTATATGTGACACATTTAGCTCCATTCACTGTATTTATTCTTACAAACGCCCTGAAGTGCAGACAATTTCTGTACAGTGGGATTAACAGGAACTGGAATTCCTCCCTTGTAGCGACACTGGTCCCACTACCTACCAGGTCTCAGGCCAGTAAAGTGTGTGGCCTGATGAGATCAGATGCTTCTGTACAAACAAGAGAAACATGCAAAGCCAAAGTTGACTACAGCCCTCAAAAAGTCGTGTGTGGAACATCTTAAAAACGTGAGCGAGAATAACGTCAAGTGTGTTTCGAGAGGTTTGAGTCGGTGGTGGAAAGACACAATCTAACAAGCCCAGTTAATTGATGAAAATCTAACTATAATTTTATTTGAAATATTCATTCTTGTATTATAGGAGTGTGTTTTTCTCCACATGTGCTAAAAATGTGGTAGAAGAAGCTGTGGGACAGGGAAGCGCCCACAGCCAACTGAGGATACAAAAACAGGGCCAGTATTGTGACAATATGATGTAGTGTGATAATTACAGAGGACATGAACTAGAAAGAAATGAACTAAACAATCTTCAGTCCATTACTGATCTCTACTTCAGGCGAATCAGCTTGAAACATGAGTTGATGTTGGCGTAAGTTTAATTCAATGAAGACGCCTCTGAGGGCTCAGCGTACGAGGTCAGAAGACAGCCTCCAGAGAAAGATGTAAAAAATCAGCTGTGCTGCAGACTGGAGATGCCCAAGAAGATAATCATGAAACGCAGAGTGGCCGGACTAAAATCACAGAAGAGAGCTCTTCATACAAGAAGTAAGAATTTTAATTTTGACTTTCAGGTCACGCAGTGGCCGCAAAATATTGGAACTTCAATCACAGTTCAGCTGAACCTGAATATTAATGCATCGCTCGTCTACACATAACACCACAGATGACTGCTTTCTGTTATATCTTATTATATCTCATATCCTGGTTTGTCTTTGGTTGCTGATTTTTTTCTGCCAATAACGTGAGGAGAGGATTTCAAAATCCCAAACCTGGAGATGGTGCCCTGCTCAGGAAAACAATAATGTCCAGTAACTTTAAGTCTGCAGACAAGCAGCCAGCTAAACTTTTCATGTTTCAGCTGAATGCACACAATTGGTCTGCTGGCAGAAAGTCTTTAGAGCTTCTGCATTAATTACTCAGGACTTTCCTAAGCTCTGGTTCAGCCTGACAACACAGCTGGAAACACACTGACTCGATTATGGATCGACACGGTTAATAATTCAGTGTTGGAGAGCAGCGAGCTCACAGACAGAAAAGGGAAAAGAGTGATCAGCGGTGGGAAACAGAGAAAGCCTGTCTTTCCAGGCTTTCTCTGATCCTGTGATCAGGTTTCTGAAGAGGGGAGATGAAGGAGGAGACAGTCTGAGGGGAGCACAGCTCAGATTTTATTTCACTGAGAAGCATAAAGTCTGTGTGACCTGGGCTGGATGATAATCCAGTTTTATTGTGCTGACCTTCTTGATGATTGATTACATTATTGTCTCGATGCTGTCTAAATTAATGATTTCATACTAATGACCTTTTAAAAACTTACAAAAGAGTATTTTTGTAGCTTAAAGCTGCCAATATCAGATACACGCTGTGTGGCTAAGGTACAGCTAACTGGCTAACTACCCTCATGATAATAGGTATTACTGTAGAAATTAAATGTTAGTTATATATGTTTGTTTGTTCTAGAAGATTTATCGATGGATAAAATTATCTGACACTACAAAGAATTTAGCATCATATTGAAGTAATTAGGCAAGCTAGCCAGCTAGCATTCCTACTGAGGTGTGAGGGCTTTTCTTGCTAGTTCATACTTCGCAAGTTCATTTGAGAGTCTGAACCTCCAAGGTGGGAGGACACAGTTAGTATTTCCCCTCAAATACATTTTTAACCCTTAATTTCATTTACTGGCCTGTGCATATGATATGCATAATAACAGATTTCTTTACAAAACAGATTATTAAAATATATATATTTTAAGCATAAATAAAACACTGAAATAAACCAAAGATCCCCCCACAGAGAAGACCTAAGTGAATCATACCCTGCATTTAATGTCTACCGAGTAGGGAAAAGGATGTGCCTGGAGTCAGGCAGTCGGAGCTCATGTTACCTGCCGAGAGCACCCGGCTCCCACAGATCATTTTTTAAACTGCTGCTAGCTGGCGAGGCAAGAGGCTGGTTGTTAAACTAGGGGGGTGGACATCTCCAAAAACGCCAGACCTTTTGTACAAATAGACAATAGCTTGATAAATCACATATTTGAGGTTAACCACAACTACATTCTCGACTAAAAACATCTTAAAGGTTTATTTTGTGTCACAGAAACATTAATATATTCAAAATGTAAGAGTTTGGCCCTACTTTTGATTTCCGTTCCAAATGCATCCAGGTGAAGCATCCTTGATGGGTGGAGCAGGAACACAGTGGACTTTTAACTGGAGCTGTACTTGTATGTTTCACAAGTATGCATGTTGAGAAACAGCCATGAAATGCTAGCAAGCATGTTACAGCAGTTTTTAGCTAACCTGGTTGTTAGTTGGCAACCAGGTACCAGACCAGCCCCAAGGGGTTTGAATGAATTAGCTGTGCGTATCCCCTTTAGCTCACTAGTACTGCTTGCAGTTTAGCTGTGTTAGCAGTTTTTTAAAGACTGCACAAAGTCAGATTTTTCTCCCAACCACACTATTCACCCATGAGTTGACTCGCCTCTTATGTTAACTGTATTTTTCCTTGACAGTCTGCAATGCAAACAAATGACCTGAAACCCAAAGCAGCAGAGAGCTAGCGAAGCTCATCTTTCTTTCCCAATAACCCTGTCATTAGTTAAACCCTATCTGAAGCCACATATGCTTCAGAGCCTTGGTGGGTCTCTACTCTTCTCATGTTATCTGAAAGCACAGTTATGGTCCGTTCCATTTGAAATTCAAAGACAGAATTTTTTGAATTCCTAGTCAGAATTTCCAAGTCAGATTTCCCAGTCAGAGCAGGTCACCAGCCCCCACCTAACAATGAAGACAGTGGTAGAAAGCTTTATTTGTAAGTGGCTTAAAAAGCCAAATGCGGAGAACAGACCAGACCCTGTGCAGGAACGAGCAGAAGCTTTGATTTTAAGCACAAAAACCAAGCCTCACGCTGTTCAGCTAGTGAATTCTACTTTTCTAAAGAGCAAAGCAAATCCAGTTGTTTTGACTTTACCACTGGAACTCGCTTATCTTGGGATGACATCGTTCTAACATCGGGCTTCCCAGTTAAATGGAACGACGCATTAGTGTGTTGTGACCTCTGACCTTTTCCGCCTCTTGCTGTTTTCGTCTCTTCTCCACGGCCGCCACCTTGCGCTGCTGCTCCTTCCTCCTCTGCTCCTCCATCTTCCTCCCTCTCTCCTCTGCGCAGCGTTCCAGTTGCTGTTGAACGCGACGCTCTTTATCCTGCAGCTCCTCCGACAGCTCTGCGCACACACCGGGGTATTCGTTATTTACTTATTTAGAAACTCAACTTCTACTGTTTCCTCCACAACATTTTAAGGGAAATAATGCACTTCTTGATCCACTATACAGCACACTGCGTATCACAGGAAACCCTCCAATAATCTGTGTGCGTTTGCCAGTGACAGATGAAGCAGACAGACCACACTCAGCTACACCAGCTGGACAATCGCTCATACCTCGAATTTTCTCTCCGTCGTTGCTTTGCTCTTTTGCTAAATGCAGCTGGGAGCCTGTAAAAGGAAAAATTAAGTGATTAGTTTGGCCGCCTGCAGGTTCTACATATGTTTGATACCGTTCATGCTTTATCATGTTGCTTTAGCTCCACCCCTACATGTAATCACATTCACTTTGTTTGGAATTTTAACCACACAAAAACACAATCTGAAAAGCAGTTAAGACAAACACGGGAATGACTCAAAAATAATACTAACGTTAGTGTGCAACTATCTATTTTTCAGTGTCTAACCGGACGCTGACTCTGGATGGCATTTCCTTAGACTTCCAATAAGATTATGAAGAATCATCAGTCATTTTTTGACCAGGATATGTCCTTCAACAAACACATATTAAATAAATAAGTGTACAGAAGCTTGTTGTCAAAATTTCAGGTTGCTATCTTAAAAATTTCACTCAGTAACTCTTATCTTCAGGTTATTTTCCCAAGTTGAGTTATCTTCTCAGAGGTTTTCGTTAGTAAGCAGAAATCCTGAAATAATAACCCAAAACTTTGACTTCTGAGGGGCAAAAGAACCTTTTTGTTTTATTCCAGGGGCAGAAACAAGCTTCCACGAATATGACTGTGTCATTAACTTTTGTTTAATCTCTCTTGCAGGTTTTTGTTTTGCAAAGTCATTCACTTCCTGTGCTTGATTTTTATCAAAACAGAGTTCTTCCTTCCTGCAGTCACCAAGTGCTGCTCATAGGGGATGCTGTGATTGTGCAGTTTGTTTTCAGCTCACTAAATAAAGCCCCTGGAGATGACTGTTGTTTTGAAGTGGCGCTCTATAAATAGAACTGTCACCTTCTTCTTTATTAAAATACTGGGAGTATGTAAAAGGCTATGATGAGATTACACATTTACCTGGAGGGCTCCTGTGATTGGATGGTGATCGAGAAGGAGATGCGTGCCTGTTGGCGAGCAGTGTTGGCGCAGGAGGAGGGACCAGCGCTGTGTTTCGGGATAGAAGAGTCAGACATGATTCACACTTGGCCGAGAAGCAAAATAAAGCTAAAAATGTAAAGCCAGAGCGGCAAACGTGACCACTCTGTCAATATGGAAGAGCAGGGATTAAGAAAGCTATCAGTCACAGGGCGTCCAGATGCAATACATTTTCTGTCAGTCACTGCTTCGCCTCTGGGGGTCAGATGTCAGAGCAAGACCCCTGAGTGTAACCTCCGGCCTTCTTCCTGCTCCTTTTTTCCCTCTTAGTCTGTCAAACTGACAGCCTGAAAGCAGCCAAAGGGCAACTATCCACCGCGCTCTGTGCATTCAATGGTTTTTTTAAAAACAAACAGTGGTCTTAACATACAGGCATTAGATATGCAAATACATGCAAACATGAGCCAAAAGTCCCCTCTCCCACACTCTGTCTCCAGTGTACATTACATCACATGCAGAAATCTGCTGTTTGTTTAAGAGGATGATGGAGGACTGTGGATGGTTAAAGAGCTGACAGCCCATAAAGAGGGATGGGTGGAATCAATATAATGTAGGATAGCAAACATAATCAGTTAGAATATTTATGCTGGCCTATCATAAAATATACTTCCCAAGACGTCATTTGATGTGTATCACTCACGTAGACCTCTATATATGAAATGCAACAACATATTTGTACAACGCAACATGCAAAACCATGCCTAAACATAAGAAACATTACACGTCGAAAATGTGTTTCCAGATGCACATATCTAAAGTAATTCTTCAGGATATGCGGATGTAACGCATGACTCTTTAAAGGTCTTTAAATGAAAATGCAGCGTGAATCAGTCCTATCCAGGTTAATGGTTGTGGGTTAATGTTTGTCCATGGGCGTTTCTGAGCGTAGGAAGATTACCCAGCCAATAATACACATTTAATATAAGATTCATAAATAGGGGCGTATATTTTTCTCACCTGTCATGTCAGCTGGACCTGGAGCCACCTGGGTCATCGAGTGTTTTCCAGTAGAGGGACGTGACAAGAGCCAGAAAGACGTTAAACCCGCGGTACCCCACACAGGAGAGCGCCGGTCCGACACAGTGACTCAGGAGAAGTCTAGGAGGATGCTAGGAGGATGGAGGCACAGGGAGGGGAGGGGAGCAAGAGTGGATTTCTATTCGATGCTATAAAACGTAATCTTCATGTCAGTCCTCGTATATACTTCTCTCAGATAAACCAGAACCGATACCGCCAATGTAGCCATATTTAAAGCTTCAAATACAAGGGTACCTTCAACGAAACGTCGGGACTACTTCATGAAATAAAAATAAAAACATTGGAATGAAAGAAAAAGATTAAACATTGCTCTTTGTGATACTATAAAAGTATCTAACGTGTAGTAAAAAAAATAATATTACATTTTTCCAGCTTTTTGGTTTAAAACGGAAACACGAACCTGTGACCGCTTTACATTTGGCTAATTTACATATTAATGCGCCCACTCGCGCTGTTATGCGTCGCTTAGCGACCAGGTAGCGCCTGTCGCTTGCCCAGAACTATAAAAGCAGCTTGGCGGAAGAATAAATCACTGTAAAGCAGCTTTACAATATGTTTATGTCACTTACTTTCATTTTTGCAACTTTTCAGATTAAATCCGTTTGTCGTCACAAAAGGACACTCTCTTCCTCACGTGGCAGTAAAACTAGCTGAAATTGGCTCGTGACAGGCCGCACGTGCCGGCGCCAGCGATGCAGTTACGTCATAGATAATAGCAAACCGTGAGGATGGCTGCTGTAAATGTGGGTCAGTGCTGCTGTTTTCAGATCAAAACACACACACGCTTACTGAGTCGCCTCAGATGGCAGCGCTATAAATAACAACAATGAGGTTTTTAAATAAATCACAAAGAAAAAATTAACGTGTGGACCACAGCCTCTCAGATACAGATGTTTTTGTGTGATAATTGCAGAAATCCAACGAACTAAACCAGCCGATGTCTTAAAAACGGTCAAAATCCGCTTCGGTGTGCATTCAAATTATATCATATTACATAAACCAAATAATGTGGTAAAATGGACCTTTATGAAAAACCTGCAGGACATAAGACACAAACACACAGAGTATATATGCAGTATAAACAGATAAAGGTTCTGATCTGATTAGGTATTGTTTTTGCAAGCGCTGTGCCAGAAAAAGCCAGCATTACTGAGCTTCTTTCCTTGGTCTTTGTTCTCCCCAACGTAAACATTTAAGAGTAGAAATAATATGAAATAAGAACTTAAATAAGGGACAGAAGGACTGGTCAACTTTAAATAAAACCATTTGGAGACAAAGAGCAGGCACACTGTGAGCCTGAAGGATTCACCACAGCAGGTCGTCACTTCCTGCACAGCCTCTCCACACTGTAAGGACAAAAATACCAGCTTTTGTTCCCTGCAGCCCTCAATGTTCTCAGCTTAAAGTGCCCAAGAGCACAAGGTCAGTTTATCTGTCCTGCTGCCACCATCAGACCGGCACAGGAAGTGCGTTAGGCGCCCAAAAACCACGATGCCAGGTCAGTGGAGTTAAGATCTTTATTGGAAACCCAGCCTTCAAACATCATAGTACATTTTAATTTTTTATTAATTCAGTTACAACAGCAACAGGCCCCACGTCGGCTAGAGCAGTGGTTCCCAAACTGAGGTGCTGGGCCTCCTCGGGGACTGCGAGGAGGGGAAATAGATATAATATGCTGCAGATATAAATCACTGATTTTTCTAGAGGTTCTATGCGATGATAAATGGCTGTGCTGTGAGGTTTTACTGGTTTAACTGGTGGGGATGTCTGCAAGGGGAACGTTTGGGAACCGCTGGTCTAGCGACCGGAATTGCGAGCAGCAAAGAGTTCAAAGAGAGGACAAGGAAACAACAACAGAAAGACAAATGAGGGAAGTAAACAGAGAAATACATCTGAGTCTTCTTTTGATTTTAGGGGAGCAGGATTGCCTTCATTCAGCCTGGGTTTAAACTAAAAATACGAGCTTATGTGAGCAGGCAGGGCGTAAAGGAAAGGGAGCAAAAAGCCACCGTGGAGGTCAACGCATTCTTTCTGCCATCAACAAACAACGATAAACGATCAAGGAGGAAAAACACAAACTAGTTAATGTTTTTATTGGCGAATCCAGAGATTCTGTACTCGTTTGTAAATTCCACAGTGTGAAATGAATATAAATACATTTTTAAAAGATGACATGCACTAGGTGTGAGATATTTTGCAGTCATGAGACAATGAGTGTGTTTTCTGCGCAGCTGTGTGTAAAATTAAGGAGGAAACAAAAAATCAAAACTGAGATGGCAGATTTGCCTTTTTCTGTTGCAGCTGGAAGCAAAGGGTAAAAATCTAGAAATGCTCCAGATGTTCACCTTACACGTATGATGCAGTCGATCAGCTCAGATTCTCCACAAAGGTGGGGAAAGCAAACTGTCGGCGTCATCATCATCTTCATAATCATCATCCTCAGTGGTCTCCGTCTGATAACTGAGACAGTCTCTAAAGCAGCGTCTTGTCTAATAAATCAAAGTACTGATGGTGATCTCCCCTGTGTGAAATGCACTTAAAGTTCTCCAAACAACAAAGATGTCTACTGATGATAAACAAGCTGGATTAAACATACTGTATATTAATAAACTGTATTGGACTGGCATAGGCTGATCTTAATAAAAATAATTATTTTCGGTGCGCTGTGTTCGGCTCGAAAGATCCCAATCGGAGCATCTCTAACAAAATCCCACCTTCTCCCTCCAGTGGCAGGATTTTAGATCTGCAAAGAGGAAGAGGAAACATTATTTGAGTTTGTTCTGCACAATCTGATCCCAGCGTGCACGCAGTTTAGTTATCCACCATATTTGGACCAAACAAACTACTTCTACAGTTTATATCATGTTGGGGGTTAAAGTGCAACCGAAGATGGTGAGGATCATCAAATATCTAGAAAATCTCTCAAATGCATTAATCTAAAACACATGTGAAAAAAAGCCAATATAAGGCTGTTAGAAGGTGCAAGACTCCAAAGTCACTTAAAAACAAGTTTACGCCCAGGCTCGCTCAGCTAAACTGTCTCGTCAGAACCATCCTCACATCTCCTCTTTTTTTTTTATTGTTTTAAATCAGAAATGAACTTAAATACGACCAATTATGATTTATAAGCTTTTTGTCTATAAAATGCAATAAAATGTGACCACCACAACTTTTTTGATGACACAAGCTCCAAGACCAAACTTGTTTAAGAGCAAGCAAAGCTCCACTGTGTCTCAGAAAATAAGGCCACTGATGGAGATTTAGAACTAAAAGAAGAAAGTAAAATTATGCTGCTAGTTCTTTGTGTTTAATTCAAGGTGTTGTACTGGCTTCAAGACTACTTTTGGGATTATAATCCACTCCTGTGAAGAATTAAATTCAGGTACTTAGAATATATAAAAAAAATATTGTTCAATTACGCCAACTTACATCATCAATGTCCTCATCGTCATCTGCAATGTCATCAAACTGAATCTCATCGTCGTCTCCAGGTCCAAATGTGTCTGTCTCGTTGATTTTGGCTGCAGATGAAACAGAAAATGCATCAGAAACATCTCACGAGTACTCACGCCGACCCCAGAGTGAATCTAATCACGCCACAGGGTCGCACTGTGCAGTTATAGATGCTCTGAATGATCACCATCACCATCAGGGAGCAGTTTGGAAATGAGACTGTCACCACTTCTCCACCTTGCACGTGATTCATTAGTGGAGAAACCTTGAACTTTTATTTTGAAAGTTCATGCATGGCTAACCGGGTAGCCCTAACGCTTCCTCTATTGTTTTCCTGCAGTTGGTCGGGTCATCACCACGGTGCTGCTACTTTGCTCAGTCCCAAAATTCAGTATGTTTGTGATGTGCAATGAGGCCCTCTGCTGATCAAAACCTGCAACTATTTTCCACCTTGGATTTGCAGGAAAACAGAATCCTACTTCACCTACAGGTCTGACACAATAATGTTTGTGGAAGTTCATGGAAGTAAAACAGACACCAGACAACCAGCTGCAGTAACATTAACACAGCAAGTTTTTAAAAAACCGCCTCGTTAATGTGACACGTGCAGCGTAACTCACCGTGCTCTGGCAGCTCTCCGTACGCTTTCAAACTGCGAGCCTCGTCTGCGTTGTACTTAAGGATGACGTCAGCTTTGTTGTCCTGGAACAGAAGTTGGGGTTGAAGTTTGTGTTACTGATCACAGTAACTTAAGATTTTTTAACTAAGCCCCCCTACAGAGCCCCGTAGGTAGGACTCTCCATGTAAACACAACTGTGAGCAGTTTTCTGTTATTTGTGGCCATCATAAACATCAACATCTCTACTGATAAAACACAAATAAGTTTAGGAAAAGTAATTCAGGCTGTTAAAGCTTCACGGTGCCCTCTCAGTGACTGACAACAGTATTAGTGGTCTGATCTGAAGCCTGTGTGAGCCACCAACACACCTGATAATCCCTCAGCCCGACCAGGATGATGTCCGACGTGTTAATCCAGACCTGGAGGAAAACAAAACAAAGCAGGGATGAGTGGCACAGGGTCACGCTGCACTTTGTGACCCGCACACACGCTGACGGCGGCTGCCTGAGAAAATGCTGACGCGGCGTCACACCACAGAGTTTCCTCTGTGTGTGATGGTGGGAGAAGGCGACAGAAGGTGCTCGGGTCATTCCTACCTTTTTCCGGAGTTTTCCTCTGATGTGGCAAAGCCGCTTGGTTCCATCGAAGCACATCGCCTCCAGACGTCCGTTCCCCAACATTTTAATCACCTGAGCGTATTCTGAGACACAAGAGAGCAAAGGAAGCTTAAATCAACCCGTGATATACTCGCCTGTAATAAAGGGCTCGTACACTGTTCAGAATAGGAGGAATAAACCATTATGAATCTATTTCAGCTGCCTTGGTGCAAATGAAAGTGACAGATGCACTGGATGAGACAACAAGACAACCCCCACAAAGGGAATAGCAGGTGGTGCCCACAGACTGCTCGCTCTTCCTCTCTTCTGACTGATTTTTCTCTAGTTTTGCTTTTAGTTAGTGTCCCGGCTACTGATGGTTGCCCGTGCAGTCCAGATCCTTCAGGATCTCCATGCCTGCGGTTACAGGAAAGTTTGCAGAGTCTCCCAGCAGAGTGCCAAGATTTGGCGTGGACACCAGCAGGAGCAGAGCTAGACAAAGCTGTAGATAACAGCAGGAACAGTACGTGCTGCTTTGCAGGTCACTCCTGTGCATGTTTCTGAACAAACTGTTCACACTGAGCACATGTGACAGACGTGAGAGTCTGAAGCCTGAAACACACTCCAGAATGACTGCAATCCTATCCTGGTGCTTTGGGTTCTTCCTGGTACAGAACAGTTCTTGAATGATGAAGGCAGAACTGACCCACACCTTCATCAGAACCTCTGAAGTGTTCTGTACCCATGCTTCCAAATAGCACCAGACTGTCCAGGAGGTCCCTGATTCTCTGATCCAGGTCTGGCAGGATCAGTGACACATGCACCGAGGCTGTAGGGAGTGGATCCAGCCATAAATATTTGTGAATGGCATAATGACACAAGATGGATCATCCAGTGATTGCAATGTTTAACTTTAAATTTTAATTTGTTTTTAAACCTGCTCCTCAGAAGGTTGTTACATCTGGATTTGAGCAGTGAATTTTTGAGCAGCTCCAGCTGGATCCTGACACTTCTAAGCTGAAGATCCAGTAAAGCCGGTAAACCCCTCAGTCATCCAGCGCTCTAAACATCACTGCTCTTAAATCCTTTCCTTCTGATAAAAGGGAGTTTTTCCTTCCCACTGTCACCAAATGTTTGTTTATAGTAGGTCATGTAAAAGTTGGGGTTTCTTTCTAATGCTGTGGGGTCTTTACCTTAAAGCACCTTGAGGCAGCTGTTGGCTGGGCAGCTGGTGTGTTTTGACTGTCTGCTCATCAACTACAGCTGATATTTTAAATCCTCACAGCTTAACGAGACATTTTTTAAGCAAATATTTGATTTACCATCAAATAATTGTCACATATGCAAGCACAGGACTGAAAACTTCAAGCATTTTTTTGTTTGGATAAAACTGATTAGATTAGACTGAAAGATTACATTTCAATCTTAGAGATTTAAGTAGTTCTAACATGAACGATGAGCTATGACACTCGTTTACAGTTCTTAAAACTGTGCCCAACTTACAATCGGGATTTTTTTTCCTCCTTAAATTTATTTTTGTCTTTTTGTATTCATCCTGTTACTTTCTAAACGTTTAGATAATATTCAGGTTTCGCCAAAGCATTTAAAATTTTTATATCATGTCTTCATTTTGATTTCAAGTTATTGAGATCATTTTTTATTTGCAGATGCTAAAAAAAAAAAGGAAAAAGAGACATAATATAGTGAAACATAGCTCTGTGTAACTCTGTTTTACAGCTGACACAGTAAACTAACACTAGAACAAACTTTTATTATTACTATTTAAATAACTTTTCTTCTTCATACACTGACCACTACACTTTTAGTATTTGATGTGTTTGTTTTAGGGAGGCACTTTTTATTCTGTTTTATTGAATTTAACGAGCTCACTCTACAGACCCAACTTATCCAATAATATGCAGCTTTTTAAACAGCACTTTGTTTCATTCATTTAAAAGGTTTAATTTTTTTTTTTTTTACATTTATTACATTTTATTTTGTATTTTACTCATCACTCTCCTTTGTGTTAACTCAATTTTATTTTCCCATAATAAGAAGAAACACTGTATTTTAACTGAGACATACTTTAAAACCTTAATAGTTCACTCTTCATCCCACTCACATCAAACACACTAAATTACTGTTTGTTAAGGACATGCAGTGACACTTAATCCTAGACCTTATGAATAAGTTTATACTTCGTCCTCCTCCTTTTTGAACATGTAAATTCAGTGCTATAATGTTGTCAGTGTTTTGTTTACCTGACAATTTTCTGTAAGGCGCTCCTTTCTGTGAACAGCATTATATTGTGCAAGCAATACTTGCATACTTGCTTAGCTCGGAGGTGAAGGCAACTCTTCTAACCCACAAACAGAATAAACTGAACCCACACTCACCCTGTCCATCCTCCTTGAACACCAGCTCCCTCTTCTCAGACTCATTTTCGTTCTTTCCACGTCGCCGATTTTTACCTCCTTTACCTGTAAACAGAAACAAGCAGAAATACATTAGTGGTTTGTGTCAATTTCACCGTTTTGTTTTTTTAAACGTACATATAAATAATTTTGGCGCCATAAACAATCAACCAACAATTAAATGGAAAAACACCAATACTAAGATTTCATCAGGTTGGCTTGAGTGGAGTTAAATTTAATCAAGCTTAAGGCAGCTTTTTGTTTAGCAACGGAACAAAAATGACTAGAAACACCAGAAACTTCTGCTAAACAAGACAACACTGACACCTTGTTTTAAGTACACGTGAATGATTCAATTTCAGTTATCCAAACTGGCGTTTTATCGTGGTACACAGCAGAGATGGCATTAATTTCAACGCCTGTGTGAGCTTCTCTCTGAAAGGGGAACCGGACAGAAACAGGAGCTAACCTTTATGTTAAGGGTCGTAACATCGTCCAAACGCTACAATACCATCTGGAGAATAGTTTAGAACCCAGTATAAAGACACTCTGGTGTTTTAAAGGGCTGAATATTGGTGGAAATTGGAGGCGGATATTACGGGCCGGCCCGGGTGGGGTAGGTGGGGTAACTAGGTAAAAGCTAGCTGGTTAGCTGTAATAGTTAGCAGCGGACTACACCAGTAATCAGGTTAGCTCAATCGTTAACGGAGAAGGAGAACTTTATTAGATTTCTCCTAAATTCACAGTTACCCCGCATAGAACCAAACAGAGCGGGTAAACATCACGTATACCACGCTAACGGTCGTGTAAACGAGGCTCCGCGGGGCTAACTAGCAGCAGCCGGTCGGTGTCACGTTTTAGCTGCGTGTGTCCGCGGCGGGCTCCGACACAATCAACTGAAACTCGTCGCTAACGGATGGCTTCCCGCTAGCCTTACCTTTATTTTTGGGCATATTCTTTCACGCCTCGGTCACGGTAGTTCCGCTCGGTAGAAATGACCAGCTGTTAAACAATAACTGTTCACGAGAAGTGAGCGAATGCAGAGAAAGCACAGATCTGACGAGATGCTAGCTACTCAGCGTCGAATCACTCATCAGAAGTGCGCATGCGCAGACCAGGACATTCAAAACCTCAGTACTTTATTGGAACAGGGCATTGTTACAGAGACAAAGCGCTTCTTTCAGTAAAGAAGCAACAGTGACGAAATTCACCTCTAATAAATGTAAAAGTACCGTAGTAGTAGTAATTCTTATTGCTTATGTTCAATTTTTACATTATTATCATACAGTTAAAAAACATTTTTATTGTGGCTGTTTTATTTTCTTCAGCTATTAATGTATTGATTTATATTCACATTCTTACGTTTTATTTTATTTTATAAAAACATTATTTCAATATTTTTCTTACATGTACCTTAACCTGTGGAGCTTCTTCACGAATTAGATTATGATTTTTTTTAAATGATATTTTATTAAATTTTATTGTATTTTATTTCCAATCTTCTTTTAGTTTTTTATTGATTTTTTTAATGTTGAGGGCTATTCTGTTGTTTCCTTTACTCATTTTTATTCCATTTTAATTTAATTGTTATTTTTAAATTTACCCCGAGCTCCTTACTAAATTACAAATGTTTATTTTTTATATTTATTATTATATGACATTTTAACTTGTTAAGCTCATTTTATGTGACTTTATTTATTAGTTTACACGTAACTGAGTCCCTTCTAGGGTAACTTGTATCTTATCGTACAGTATCGTCTGTTGTACAGTATTTTACTGAACTGTTTTTCGCTGACTGCTGGTACTTTTAAAGTACATCCAGGGCTCCAGGGGGCGCTCTGACATGTGTTTTCAGCTCGTTAGTTTGTCCTGAAAGAAAACACACGTCTTTTTGTGTGTTTTCTTTTTTGTGGCTCAGCTAGCTTTCTGCAGGAAATCTGACCATCTGCATCGATTAAAGGTGAACGATTAGCTGTACCTGAACATTTGTGCATGCAGTTCAACTCTTTTCCTTTAATGTTAAAGAGCCAACTAGTTCATAGTGGAGAAATCTGAACCTCAGAGCTGCCCCTATCTATTGATTAGCTGTTCGTTGCTAAGCTAATGGTTGTGATGGCTGACTTCGGCAGCAGGGTCGTGCTGAATGTTGACTCTATTCTTGCTGTTATTTAAAAGAATAAACAGAAAAGACTTGAGCAGAAAAATAGGTCGTGGCGGATTATTTATTAGAGAAAAAATGTTTCGTTAAAATGTGAAGTATCGCTGCTCACGTCTCACTTCTACTTAAAACAGAACATTTTGAATGGAAGTCTTGTTATAACAGGAATGATCAAAATAAACATTTAAACGTGCACTTATAAAAAAGGAATACAAAATTATAATGAAAAATTATAATAGTAGCTAACATAATCTACATGTATGTGAAAATTAAAATATTATAATAGAAAAAATGGTCTTAATGGCAATTGCATGAATTATGGGCAAGAGCTGTGCAGTTACATAAATAAACAGTAAAATACTTACTATAATCACAAATGATTATTTGACATAATAAACACAATTACAGATTTTGTAAATAATACAAGTAGTTATTGTACATGTATATAATAATATAATAATTGTATTATGAACAATAATTCTCTTGTTTATTGTCTATTTATATGTTAATGCATACCTGCATCAATGAATGAGTAGCATACAAGCATGTACAGATAAAAACTACGAACAAATACCTGGACATGTAATATTAATATTCATTAATCATTAATTAATAATATATTTCCTGCTGAGTGGAACTGCTTTTACTCAAATTCAGCTCCATCACCGTGCAGACCTACATCTTTCAGCTGCTCCATCCCACCACTACATCCATGATTCTTCTCTGAGGTCTTCCTCTCTTCCTCCTCCCTTGCAGCTCCATCTTCAACATCCTTTCTCCTCCTTTGCACATGTCCAAACCATCTCAGGCTCGTGTCTCTAACTTCTTCTCCTTCTGATCTTTTTATTTCTAAGTCTTTCCATCCTGGTCACTCCAAACAAAAATAAAACTTGGATAATATTTAGTATTTATGAATAAATGTTAAGTGTTTTTCACACGTAGACTTTGGTGGGCTGCCCAGAGGGATGAAGAAAGTTTACCTATAAACCCCGAGTCAGAGATGAGGGGTGTCACAAGGGCAGTTATCGACTTTCTCTGCTAAACCAGACTTTGTCCTTGAGGCTCTGCGTGCGCTCTCATATAAAGGGGCCTTTCACACATTATAGGAGTATTCTTCCACACAAAATGATCTGTTATGAGTCCAGCATGTTCCAAGCTAGCACACCACTCAGGTGTGTTTTGAGATTTATTTTTATTGTTTTATCAATTTCAGACAGCATCTCAGTCAGTTCACTACCACATATTCCCATATGCTCTTATTTTGAAAGTTGATTCACTATTGACAAACTTGCATCGGCCCTTCCTGTCTCCCGTTTTTCCAACAATAGGCTGATCAGAGTGCTTTTGCTGTGACTGCCAGACTCTGATCCTGTGGTCAGACTGACTTTGACTTCACCGTCTTGGGTGATGTTAGTCCTTGTTCTGCTCTTTGAGATGGAGCTGCTCTCTAACCAGGATGTGATGCAGGTGGAGGATTGTTTCATGAGCTGCCACGCCGAGCAGAATGAGGACGCCAGTCACAAACCAATATTTACTGTCAGGAAATACTGTGTATATGGTATTGATTTATTGATATATCTAAGAAAGACTTTTTATGCCTTCATTCTGTAGTATTTTATCTGTTTGCTGCGTATGTAATACATTTTTCTCCTTTCAGGCGGCTTCCAAGCAGTCGACCGTTCAAAGCGGAGGTGCAGGAAAAGCATCATCATCCTCGGTCATGGCCGGAAACAAAAACTGGGATGGCGCCGGTGGGATGGACCAGATAACAGTCGTGAGAATAGACGACACTCACATCGCTGAAGAGGAGTCGCACGTCGACGGGAAGGTGTTCTACGAGGTGGAGTGCTCGCTGCCTGCGGAGGACGAGGTCGTGGGAGAGGATGACGATGACGGCGTCTACGTCATCGAGTATTCAAACCCTGAAGAGGAGGGGGAGAGTTACCAGTTCACGATGTCCGTAGATCGGTCGCTCCCAGCGAAAGAGCCGATTGTTAAAACTCCGGTGGTCAGCGAGAACCCCGGAGCTCTGCTGCCGTCCAGACCGGCGAGGTTGCGACCTCAGGTGAGCCAGAAGAGGAGGTTGGTAACCGAGGAAGAGGAGATCAAAAGCGAAGAGTTCACGGTGAGCAATAAGAGCGTGCTGGCGCTGGGAGAGGATTACAGCGACGTGATGGAGATGAACTCGGGCTCAGGTAAGAAACTGGTGTGCACGATGTGCCCGCCGCCCGGCAAGCTTTTCAAGAGGGCGTCTGGGCTGGCGGTGCATTTAAAGCAGATGCACCACATGGAGGGGAAGAAGACGTTCTTCTGCAACTCCTGCCAGCAGTCGCTCCGCACTCAGATCGAGCTGGACGCGCACACGAGGCGCCACGCCAACCAGGACGCCGTGTTCGTCTGCCGCCTCTGCGCAGCCGAGGAGGAAGCCGGCACGGAGGAGAAGAAGGGGTTCAAAGGGTCCAGGTGGGGCCTGAAGAAGCACCTGGAGAAGGAGCATCCAGGTGTTATCCCGCGCTGTGACATCTGCAACAAAGGCTTCAAGACGCTCGTGTCGTACCTCGCCGACCAGTTCCGGCACGTCGGGGTGTCGCCGTACTACTGCGCCAAGTGTCAGATCTACGAAATGACTGAGCGCGGTCTGAGCGTGCACATCAGAAACCACAACAAGAAGAAGATGACTGAGCAGAAGGCTAATGAAAGCCGCCTGCAGACTTTTGAAGTCTCCGCCGGTGCTGATAACTCGGCGACAGACGACTCCGACTTCTGACGCTCCAGACTCACCGTTTAGCTTCGTGTTCGAGTGAAGCGGCTCACAGACGTCAGGGTCAAATCCCATATTTTATGCATCTGAACTGAACTTTGGGCAGAAAAACTTTCCCCCTAACAGTTAGAAAACCTTTTTTGTGTGTGTGCAGTTAATGACCAAACATGTTACTGTTTAAGTAGAAGTGTCTAAGAATTATTTGAATTCCCTTCCTTTATTTTCAATTAGGGATAATCGTAGTTGATGAAACGGGACAAAAAACTTGTCTCAAAGAAAAACGTCCAGGAAACGGTCAGAATCAGCACAGGCGTCCATTAACTACTGTGTGTTTATTTAAAAGACATTTTACACATTTAATCACAGCCTTCAGTAACCATCTTTTTTAAATGTTGCTGATATCTGTGGCGCACACACACAGTCAGGTTAGTCTTCTTACCTTGCAGGTTAACCCGTAATGATCACAGCTGTGCTTCCATCAGAAGTGACTTCCAGGGTCGCCTCAAGTCTGTTTTTAAAAGAAAGTTAAGCAGCACAGAGCAGGCGATTGGGTCAGGAAGTCAGAGACAGCAACAGCATAAAGAATTTGATACATTTTCAAAATAAAAGATCCTTTGAAGACTAAACGCTTGTTTCTGAAACACTCCCGCTGTGTAAGGTGGATCAAAACTTCACCAAAGAGAAGCAGCCGCTGTGTTTCAGGGTTAAGTTTACGCGCTCATTTTCTCAAACAAGGTGCTTCCCTGAACGAATAGCAGGACTGTACTTATGATGGCCCCCTACAACCAGCAGGTAACTACTACTGTACATCAATAAAATGAATATATCTAAACTGGGACGTTTCAGACTGGGTAAAAGTCAGCTAGAAAAAAGGCCCAACGGTCCAACTTTGAGACATCAGAGCAGGTTACAGCCAATCTGGTGCAGTTTTCTAAAAATCGCACTCTTGGACTAAAACTGAATTTTCCAAACATAAATGCAGTTGTTTGGAGGCGTTATTACAGAAACTTTCCAGGTGTAACTCCCATTTCATGAAGTGTTACAGAAAAATATAGCCGACACAAACAGACCCAAGCTTTCAGTCACATCACATGATCTTTTTTTACAGGTGCTAAAATAAAAGGATCAAACACTCTGGACCAGCAAACAAAGGAAACACCCCAAACACTAAGACATTTAAGCTGTTTGTGGAGGGAAAATGCCAAAAGTTTGAACCTTTCACTTCACTTGGTGTGCGTTATTTTTATATATTACTGGTCAGCTGACCTCAAGAAGTTACGACAGAAGACACATTCAAAGCTGTTCATTTGCCTTTTTCGTTGAGTATGTGTTATACCTTTTGTGAAGGAGCTTTCCAAGGTGAAAAAGCTACAAATATTTAAAAAGACCCAAAAAACTTTAAAATACACATAACTTTGTGTAACAGGAATACAGATAATTAGCATTAATGGTCCCTGAATACTCAATGTAGGACTCTTTTAGTGGACTCTGGCCACACATTGGAAACCAATGAAATGTTACAGTCTTAACTGCGTTTGTGAAGTTTGTACTGAAATATGCATCAACACTAAATCAAGCATAAAACTCTTTTCGAGGCTAAAATGTGGCTTTTAAAGAGCCGGCCGTGTGTAATTAAATTGCCACAGAGCTCACTCGTTGCAGGAGCCGAAACCTTTCAAATGTTATTTTAAACTCATCCTGTCATAACTGTACGTTTTATGTTACAGGAGGTGAAAATCATTCGAATATGAACTGAGTTTGCTGCATAACACTGAAAAGAGATGCAACGAGCTGTGTTATGAAGCGTTTTAGTTTTTCTTCTTTTTAATTGAAATGCAGTGAAATCGCAGGTTTGCTGTGTTAATTTTTTTGCTTTTTTGTTCTTTGCTGTGGTGATTTCATTTTTTGCCTGCAACATTGCATTAAAGGGAAATGCCACTGATTCTTAGCGCTGCTGTTTTCTGTTCACATTTTTACTCTGTAAAGTGAGTGTGGATGAGTTTTTATGCTGAAGGGGGTTTACAAGGTGCTTCATGTGTCACAGTTTTTTATTTTGCAAGTTTTTAAAAACATTTCTTTAATAAAAAAAAATTAATTGAGAGCAACAAGCAGACAAAAAGCCAACAAACAACAAATCTCAGTTGACATAAGCTAAATATTGCATCTTTTCACAATAAAATGCTCCTGAGGTTCACGTTCTGTGAAATTATCTTTTATTCAAACGACAGGTGTAGTGTAAACATACATTTATGCTTTGCACTTAAATGCTGTAAAAACTACAAAGATAAATATAAAGTCGACATTTGGCTGCATTCACATAAAAAAGGTTGTTTCCCATTTTAAAAACAGCTTTTAACAGCCTGTTTACGGAGGCCTCGTGTGACATCTGGAGCTCGACTGGCTCATTCCTCCATCACCTCAGCAAACAGGACTAGCTGCCTCTGCTACTGGCCAAGCACTCTTCAGATGCAAGCTGTGTTTCTAACTTTAGTCTGTAGCACCATGTTGGTGAAAGATGACAGGAAACGAGCTGTTGGCAACCCCACAGCAGGTGAAGCCAAAGTGGGCAGCTTTTGAAAAATATTTTCTTCTTTCGGTTAGATGTTAATCAGGTAGAGCTCATAATATTTTCCTCCATCCAGCAGCTGCTCGTGACTGTTTGTGCACATTTTTACAGCAATAATAATGCATGTTATCAAAAATGGCTTTAAATCTAATGAAAACAGATTTATCTTGCAGCCAAACCCACCTACAGCAACCAGATGTTCTTTCTTTACTGATGATGGGTTTTTTAAACATCCATGCACATTTTTCTGCTGTTTTCTATGTGTAGTCCCATTGGAGCACCATTAATCTGAAATTGATCATCTACAAAAATGTATTTGTGGATGAGGGTTATTGAGTCTGGGCTGTCTCGTGTATTTTAACATTTTTGTATTGAAGGCACAAACGAGCATCAAGAAACAAAGAGACACAAAACAGGTTGTCAGAGGTAATACAATAAAACACAGTCAGTAGGTGACTATGTGGTAACGGTTATTTAACATCAGTGAAAGACAAAACAACAACAATATCAACAAAAAAGATGCATGTTTCCTCCCTTTTTTCCATCTGTAAGTCAAATTTTCAGGTTATTATCAAACTTGAAATTACAGTTCAGGTTGGGCTCAGACTCGAAACACTGAGAAAATTATAAACTGACAACAAAAACACTTTGAACTCTAACCATAAACTGAAATTATGACTTACCGATGTGGAAAACAAGTTTTTTCAGTGGCAGCAACAAGCTTCCACACACCCAGCTTTTGGCATTTATAACAGGTGGGCCCTGTTAAATACTGCAGCACTGTGAGCACATTTCTGCTACTAATACTGTTTTCTTTCTTATTATGTTTACATTTAATTCTTATTGCAAAAATAAATTTACTCTGGTGGGAGAGTGCAGATAATTTTTTGCTTTAACAGTAAAAAAAACAGTGAAAGTGAAAGTACAGATGCAGTGGCCTGGGTTCAAGTCTGACCTGTGGCCGTTTGTTGTGTGTCTCTCTGCTTTCTGTCTGTCTCCACTATTCAATAAAGGCAAAAAATTTAAAAGTACAGATACTGGTGTTTCTGATAAACTGATACTGGTGTTTGTAAACTTTGTGTATTGTAGTGCTCTGCAGAGTTCACAGCACCACAGGACAGTCCACCTTAACGGAGCTGAGACAGGTGACCTGGTTATGTCAGTTTTGAACCACGCTACATACAAGATGTGTGACGGGCTGATTTGGTATTTTAAGTTTATTGTAGTTTGTTATCCCAGCCAAGTCACCTGACATAAGATAAGATAACCTTTATTAGTCCCACGCGTGGGAAATTTGTTTAAAGTTAAAGGTTCTGTCAGATCAGATTTTTGTTTTTAAAAGGCCGCAGACCATGAAATAAGTAAACATTTATCAGCCATCATTATCACAGAGCTAAATGCAAACAACAGCAACAAACACGTTCTATAAAATCACATCTCTAATCATCGCATCATCTGTCTACTGTCACCCCGTCGTCCTGAGACCTGCAGCTGTTACTGGGCGGGATTTGAATGATGCCACCAATCAGGAAGAGATTGAGTCACTAAGGCACCGGAGTTACTGGGCGGGATTTGTGCAGCTAATAGTTTATTTATTGACAAATATAGTCATATATGTTGGTGGGAGATAGGCCAAGATAAACAGTGCTCAGGGACCCCGCCCCTCCCTGAGCCTGGTTCTGCTGGAGGTTTCTTCCTGTTAAAAGTAAGTTTTTCTTCCCACTGTCACCAAAGCGTTTGCTCACAGGGGGTCATCTGATTGTTGGGGTTTTCTCTGTTCTCTTTGTATTATTGTAGGGTCTTTACCTTACAATATAAAACACCATGAGGCAACTGTTGTTGCGATTTGGTGTTATATAAATAAAATTGATTTGAATATTCTTTTGAAGAAATGTACAAACGGTGGGTTTGATCCCAGACTGGATTTCCAAAGAGGGTTAACGGAGGAGCTTTAAAAAGGATCCCAGTGTATCGCAGCCTGCGTAGAAGGTTTGGTTTCTGAAAACGGTGCAGTCCACTCTGCAGCGCTGACAATCATCTACACTTCCTCTCACTCTTCTGTCAGTCGCTGCTGGATGAATGTCTACGTCCCAACAATATGGCCACAATCAGAGCGTCTCTGCACACGAGGACATACATTCACTTACGCATCGGTGACTCCCACCTGAAAAGAGAAACAATTGAGGTGATAAGTTAGTGTTTACAGAGACTCACGCAGTCAGCTGTCAGTCACTGATGCAGCACATGAGCAGCGTAGTAGCTTCCTCAGCTCTCGTGTTTCCTTATTAAGCATGCTGAGTTCAAAGACTTGCATGCTTGTATTACAGAGGGGTTGCTACCTTACAACATAAAATGCCTTGAGGCGACTGATGTTATGATTTGATGCGACATAAATAAATTTGAATTCAATGGATTCAAGTCTTTTTTCTCAGCAGATTTCACTCAAGACAAATTTAATGTTGAATATTTAGAAAAGTGCCCTGAAGGTCATAAAATCTATAAAGGGGAGATCATGAGGAGGGGACTTCTATGACAGGCTGATTGGTGAGGCTGAAGCAGATTAATAACAACCTCCTACTGACCTGAACGTCTCCAGTCTGTAGTCTGGATTCTTCTGAAGAATAATCAGTGCTGTCACGTCATAACCCTTCAAGTAGTTGTTGCTCATGTCCAGCTCTCTCAAATGGGAGGGGTTCGACTTCAACGCTAAGACCAGAGGATGGCAGCTGGACCTCGTCAATCTGCATTCCCACAGGCTGAATAAAAAATAAAACAGGTTTAGAAAAACAAACTCCCACTTCGCAAAGTTAGGTGTTTGATAATAATGTGTTCAGAGAAGAAGAAAATTTAACATAGAGAAGTTTAGAAAACTGCAACGCAAAAACAAAATAATAAAGGCAAATAGATGCAGTGATTCAAACTGAGGAAGGGGAAAAGAAAAATGTTGACTGACTTTAGAATCTCCAGCCTACAGTCTGGACTGGCCAGAAAATCACACAGGTAGTGCACACCATAATCCTTCAGCTTGTTGTTTCCAGACAGGTCCAGCTCTTTCAAATATGAGGGGTTGGACTTGAGAGCAGAGACCAGTAAACTACAACTGTAGGATGACAATCTGCAGATCCTCAACCTAAATGAAAAATAAAGATCACCTAAATAACATATTTTACAATCAAATCGTATTTTAGGTTTTAAGTGTGTTAACATTTCCTAATCCTGCAAACCACCATCAACTGAAAAGCAGGAAACCAGAATAAAAGAAAACTCTGACCTCAGAGCCTCCAGTCGACAATCTGGACTCTCCAGAAAAACACAAAGCAGCTCCACTCCTGAATCCTGCAGCTTATTGTCACTCAGGTCGAGCTCTCTCAGATGGGAGGGGTTGGACATGAGACCACAGACCAGAGAATCACAGCTGGTCTCTGACAACCTGCATGAACTCAAACTGGACACAGAACAAAACAGTTTAAACTCCTAGTTGAGAACATTTAGTGTTCACAATCTCAAACCTTTTATTAAACAGGCCTGAGAGTCAAACTATGTTATTGATGAGCTTGGATTTGGCTCGATCTTCAGCAGGAAAAGACGAGTTCAGACTCTTTGTAGATTCAAATACGCATCTATAGTCATTAGTGTTAGTCATAAACATCCCCCACAGCACCACAGGACAGTCCACCTTAACGGAGCTGAGACAGGTGACCTGGTTATGTCAGTTTTGAACCACGCTACATACAAGATGTGTGACGGGCTGATTTGGTATTTTAAGTTTATTGTAGTTTGTTATCCCAGCCAAGTCACCTGACATAAGATAAGATAACCTTTATTAGTCCCACGCGTGGGAAATTTGTTTAAAGTTAAAGGTTCTGTCAGATCAGATTTTTGTTTTTAAAAGGCCGCAGACCATGAAATAAGTAAACATTTATCAGCCATCATTATCACAGAGCTAAATGCAAACAACAGCAACAAACACGTTCTATAAAATCACATCTCTAATCATCGCATCATCTGTCTACTGTCACCCCGTCGTCCTGAGACCTGCAGCTGTTACTGGGCGGGATTTGAATGATGCCACCAATCAGGAAGAGATTGAGTCACTAAGGCACCGGAGTTACTGGGCGGGATTTGTGCAGCTAATAGTTTATTTATTGACAAATATAGTCATATATGTTGGTGGGAGATAGGCCAAGATAAACAGTGCTCAGGGACCCCGCCCCTCCCTGAGCCTGGTTCTGCTGGAGGTTTCTTCCTGTTAAAAGTAAGTTTTTCTTCCCACTGTCACCAAAGCGTTTGCTCACAGGGGGTCATCTGATTGTTGGGGTTTTCTCCGTTCTCTTTGTATTATTGTAGGGTCTTTACCTTACAATATAAAACACCATGAGGAACTGTTGTTGCGATTTGGTGTTATATAAATAAAATTGATTTGAATATTCTTTTGAAGAAATGTACAAACGGTGGATTTGATCCCAGACTGGATTTCCAAAGAGGGTTAACGGAGGCGCTTTAGAAAGGATCCCAGTGTATCGCAGCCTGTGTAGAAGGTTTGGTTTCTGAAAACGGTGCAGTCCACTCTGCAGCGCTGACAATCATCTACACTTCCTCTCACTCATCTGTCAGTCGCTGCTGGATGAATGTCTACGTCCCAACAATATGGCCACAATCAGAGTGTCTCTGCACACGAGGACATACGTTCACTTACGCATCGGTGACTCCCACCTGAAAAGAGAAACAATTGAGGTGATAAGTTAGTGTTTACAGAGACTCACGCAGTCAGCTGTCAGTCACTGATGCAGCACATGAACCACAATATAAATAGCAGCATAGCAGCTTCCTCAGCGCTCATGTTTCCTTAAGCATGCTGAGTTCAAAGACTTGCATGCTTGTATTACAGAGCGGTTGCTACCTTACAACATAAAATGCCTTGAGGTGACTGATGTTATGATTTGATGCAACATAAATAAATTTGAATTCAATGGATTCAAGTCTTTTTTCTCAGCAGATTTCACTCAAGACAAATTTAATGTTGAATATTTAGAAAAGTGCCCTAAAGGCCATAGAATCTATAAAGGGGAGCTCATGAGGAGGGGACTTCTATGACAGGCTGATTGGTGAGGCTCAAGCAGATTAATAACAACCTCCTACTGACCTGAACGTCTCCAGTCTGTAGTCTGGATTCTTCTGAAGATCAATCAGTGCTGTCACGTCATAACCCTTCAAGTAGTTTTCTCTCATGTCCAGCTCTCTCAAATGGGAGGGGTTCGACTTCAACGCTAAGACCAGAGGATGGCAGCTGGACCTCGTCAATCTGCATTTCCACAGGCTGAATAAAAAATAAAACAGGTTTAGAAAAACAAGCTCCCACTTCGCAAAGTTAGGTGTTTGATAATAATGTGTTCAGAGAAGAAGAAAATGTAACATAGAGAAGTTTAGAAAACTGCAAAAAAACAAGAAAATAAAGGCAAATAGATGCAGTGATTCAAACTGAGGAAGTGGAAAAGAAAAATGTTGACTGACTTTAGAATCTCCAGCCTACAGTCTGGACTGCCCAGAAAATCACACAGGTAGTGCACACCATCATCCTTCAGCTTGTTGTTTCCAGACAGGTCCAGCTCTTTCAGATATGAGGGGTTGGACTTGAGAGCAGAGACCAGAAAACTACAACTGTAGGATGACAATCTGCAGATCCTCAACCTAAATGAAAAATAAAGATCACCTAAATAACATATTTTACAATCAAATCGTATTTTAGGTTTTAAGTGTGTTAACATTTCCTAATCCTGCAAACCACCATCAACTGAAAAGCAGGAAACCAGAATAAAAGAAAACTCTGACCTCAGAGCCTCCAGTCGACAATCTGGACTCTCCAGAAAAACACAAAGCAGCTCCACTCCTGAATCGTGCAGCTTATTGTCACTCAGGTCGAGCTCTCTCAGATGGGAGGGGTTGGACATGAGCGCAGAGACCAGAGAATCACAGCTGGTCTCTGACAACCTGCATGAACTCAAACTGGACACAGAACAAAACAGTTTAAACTCCTAGTTGAGAACATTTAGTGTTCACAATCTCAAACCTTTTATTAAACAGGCCTGAGAGTCAAACTATGTTATTGATGAGCTTGGATTTGGCTCGATCTTCAGCAGGAAAAGACGAGTTCAGACTCTTTGTAGATTCAAATACGCATCTATAGTCATTAGTGTTAGTCATAAACATATTGAGATATTAGATATTAAATTATATGTTTGTGAAAATCTGATCACTGAACACTTGGGGGAAGAATTATTATTAATTTTTGAATTTAAAGTATGAACTGACTTCAGAAACTCTAGTTTACAGTTGTGACTTTTGAGTCCACCAGTCAGCAGCTCCATTCCTGGGTCTTTCAGGTAGTTTCCACTCAGGTCCAGATGTACCAGGTGGGAGGGTCTGGACTTCAGGG